CCGAAATCGTACCATTCCTTCCCTTGACCTATATACCGAAACGTTCCTCCTCTTCCTCCTCGCTTTGGATGGCCGTCAATCTCTGAATCTGCCATTTCCCTTCCCACCTCTTTCTCCATCACTCTCCGTCCGCTTCTGCCTCCCCCACCCCCTTCCGGTCTCATGTGACACCGCAGTTCCCGTGTCACATGCCAGCTTCTTCCTTCCGTTTGACATCTCCTTGACACCGCCGCGTGACCATGTCCCGTGCGTCACCTCTGGGCTTGCTTGGCTCGTCTACTCCGCGCTCTGCATAATGCGACGTAATACAGTCACGCAAATTTCCTTCCTTCGCGAAACATCGGGGATTCGCGCTAACAGCTATAACCAGATAGGTGAATCAATTACTCGTTTAACCAATTATTGAGACGTGTTATCTTGTAGAGGGAGAGGGGATACGTACAAGATGAAAAAAAAAAAAAAAAAAAAAAAAAAAAAAAAAAAAAAAATCTAATAAAAAGAAAAGAAAGAAAAGAAAAGAAAAAAAAAACATATCGAGGGCAGCCTAGGTATAATATAAAAAAGAAGAAAAAAACTTTAAAATAAATTACGATTTAGGGCTGGGCTGTCAAACTCATCTACTCCAGGGGGCCACATTCCACCTAAGTAAACAGTATAATCATAAGTCGACGCAACGAAACGGCCAGATGGTTGTCCTAAAAACGTATGAGGCCATTTCATTCGTTACAAAAACACAATCACAGAAAATAATAAGTGTAAGTGTACCATCTTAAAAGACGGACTGGCTTAATTAATTACATAAAACGGCCGCCTGCAAGACTGAAACAGCATCGTGTCCCGGGCCGCGCGTTGAACACCCCTGAATCAGAGAAAGCAAAACAGGAAGCAAGCAAGACGCAGAGAGAACATCAGCGTCAGAGAAAACGAACAAAAAACGCGTTTCGTTCCGGCAAATGCGGCACCGCTTATGAGCCTAAGAACTGCAGGACTTTTCTGAGACACGTAATCAGCCGTGTTCTTTCCCTGCCCTTCCTGTCGCGTGGTTTTCCTGCTAAATCCACTTGGACATGCTTTTGTTTCCAGGAGATTCCCAAATTCCTTCCAACAATTCCGGAAAATATCGTGCTCGCAAAACCCAATATGCATCTCGCACCAATGGTTTGGCGATTACGCACTACTGCAGAGATTTTTTTTTTTTTTTTAGCAAAGACGAGAAACGCAAGGAAATAAAAATGATTTATTTTAGGAAAAAAGAAACTCAAGGAAATAAGAAATACATAAAATAAGGAACATAATAAGCCACCAACCTACGCCCCGGAAAATCAATTCCAATAAACCTGCCAATCTATAAACAAGACCAAAAGGCTTAGCTGTACCCTACAAGAGCAGAGCAGGGACATAACCTTGCTCCCATCAGCACAGGTGACGGGGCGAAAGCAAGGAAGACGAAAGGGTGAAGTGGAATGAGGAAAGGGAGGAATAGGGAAGCAGAAGAGACACGATGAAGCAAGCTATACCGCCCTCATACCGTAACACTCACCGCGCCGCCCATCGCCACGTGAGAAGAGCGAGGGAGGACACGAATCTTCCCAGGACATCTCGAGTCGTGGGCGCCGCCCGTACCTAAAGGCGGGAGGGAGAGAACCACGCCCTCGATAACTTTAATTAAGGGCTCACAAACTCCCCTCGCGAATAAGGGCCTCGTGCATCGGGCTCTCGATTACCATGCTAGAAAGTCCTTAGGGTGTAAGGACATCCAATTGATGGCGACCTTTTTCTCCGTGCCATCGAAAAAGGGCGATATTTGGTTATAAAAAGTGGAAGGAAGGAGAGGGGAAAAATGAAGGAAATTAAGGCAAAGAAAGAAGTAGAGCAAGAAGGGGAGAAAGAGGGATAGCATGCCACTGTATGTCAGCAGGTTGGATGTTTTTGCTGGCCCGTATGCCCGCCTTGGGGCCCGCATGGCAGACGTGCAAAAACTGCCAGGGTGTGGCAGGGCGCCGCACCCGAGCAAGTTCTCCTGCTGTACGCCGTCTTGTTCAACATGTGTGAGCCTTTGTATGTGCATGCGGACAAAGATACACAGAGACGCATAATGGATAGCATCGTGAAAATGTGGAGTTTGCCAGATATTTCGGGAAGACGAAAATACCAACGAAGATAAACCGACTGGCACAAGCGCACGACACACATCAGAGGAATAAAGGCGGCGGGGGGGGGGGGGGCGTATTTCGGGAGCAACTCATGACGGAAGATCTGCGTGTCCCGAGCTTCCATAATATTATAAGCCTCAACCAGATTATTTCATTAGTGAGGCTGAGTTACGCCGGCGCTCGGCATCACGGCGAGGATAGTCCCAGCGAACATCAACAACGCTCAACCGGAAGTCACCATATTTCTGGGACGTTCCTGGCCAGCCCTCGACGCCCACGATGAAATCCGAGCTCGCCGAACAAATCAAATCCACCGGGACGACACGGGGTAAGAAATGATATCGAAAGAGAAAGAGAATTCGGAACGACCAACCGCTGCGTCACACAGGCCAGGGTCAGAGTCATCCAGCCTGAAGCTTTTCCCCCGAAATCAAAACGGGGTCACGCGGGGTCATCCGAGGCCGGGAAAGGAAGTCAAGGCAACCTGTAGCAAAGGCTAATCCAAGCAACGTGCGTCCAACCTCCGCCACGCGCCCATAATCCGGCCAAAACACCAGGAACAACCGGACACAATCTCACCGAAGGAAGACAGGGCGAAGAAAAACAAAAGCAACCCCTGTGTCCCACTAACGTCCCCTCGAAAGCCATCGAACCCTCGAATGGGCAATAACCTCGGTCAAAATTACCTCTCCATCGTCATTGAAAGATTCCCGTGACCGGACGTGGACCAAGGAGCCCGCGGGTCACGAGAAGGACCGACCAGGTGCCAACCCGAGTCGACCTGGCACGACCCCGACGACCAGGTACAGCGAGCACATCCTGTAGCCCTGTATCCGGAGACAACATAATCGTGATCGACGACACACGCGAGGGCGCCGGGCATCAGCAACCCGCTAAACAAGACTTGCAAGCTAGCATTATCTCTTTTGAAACTTTAAAGCGGCCGCGTTTAAAACAATTTGGGGATTTTGATCGCGGAATCAACGCAAACACGGGGAAGGGTCGATAAATCCTGTTATGGGTGTCTCGCCGCCGGCATTAGCCCTTACCTCGTCTCGCTTTTGAAAATCCCAGTTCCAAGAGGCAAGGATGGGGGTGGGGGGAGGGGAGGGAGGGGAGGCAGTGGCCTTCATGACCGCGAGACACAAAGGGGATCAGCGTAAAATATATCCCCCCGTAACCTGGTAAACGATCAATATTGCCCAACCTTACTCCGACGCCAAACCATCTCCCAAGACGGTGACGCGGGATCGTTTCCCTCCCTGCCCTTCATCCCGTCCTTGTCCTTCCTTCCCAATTCCCTCCCTTCCTTGCCCTTCCCTTCCCCTCCCTTTCGGCCCCCTTCGCCAGGGGCAGGGGGGCAGCGACACCGCCTCTAATGATAGATCTATGGAGAGATAGGGAAATAGGGAGAAGACGGAAAGAAGGGCTGGAGGGGGGACACACATACATACACACACGTAGTAGAGAGAGAGAAGGGGGGAGGAGAGGAAGAGGGGGGGGGGAGAGAGAGAGAGAGGAGAAGGGGAGAAAGAGAGAGGGGGAGGGGAGATAGGGTTAGGATGAGGGTGAGGGAGATAGGTTAGGATGAGGGTGGGAGGAGGGAGGAGGAAGGGAGGGAGAGGGGAGGAGGGAGAGGAGAGAGAGAGAGAGAGAAGGAGAGAGAGGAGGAGGGAGAGAGGAGAGAGAGGAGAGAGAGAGAGAGAGAGAGAGAGAGAGAGAAGGAGAAGAGAAGGGAGGAGGAGAGAAGAGAGAGGGGGGGGAGGGAGAGAGGGAGGGGAGAGAGAGAGAGGGGAGAGAGGAGAGAGGGGCGGGAGAGGGAGGAGGAGGAGGGAGGAAGGGAGGGGAGGGAGAAGAGGAGGAGGAGAGAGGGGAGGAGAGAGAGAGAGAGAGAGAGGAGAGAGAGAGAGAGAGAGAGGAGAGAGGAGAAGAGAGAGAGAGAGAGAGAGAGAGAGAGAGAGAGACAGAGAGACAGAGACAGAGACAAGAAGAGACAGAGAGAGAGAGAGAGAGAGAGAGAGAGAGAGGAGAGAGAGAGAGAGAGAGAAGAGAGAGAGAGAGGAGAGAGAGAGAAGAGAGAGACAACGAGAACCTACCCTCCTCCCTGGAAGTACTCCCTCATCAAGGCATTATCTTTCGATCCCCGCAGCTTTCCAACGTGAAGGGAAGGAAGGGAAGGGAAGCAGGGCTCTCGCATGACGGGCAGGCAACAAACGGCGTTGATCGGGAGGCGAGAGAGTGAAGAAAAATGAAGTTGAAGTTGTTGCGTCAGACTCGGGGAGGCTATCACGCGACCACACGTTATGGGATGTTCTCCGTGTCGGCCTCCTCCTTACACCCGACTCGCATTTTTTGTAATGTTCCGGTAACTTAAGAGGCCATGGATATCATACTTGGGGATATTATGAAGCCATATATATTACCGAAGTATAATTTTCAAGTAATGAAACGAAAAAAAAAATACAACTAACAGTTTAGGCCTAAACTAGCGTGCACTTGTATATGTACTTTTTCATATATTTTTTTTTATATACACCAGTAACTATTAGACAGCACAGCAAACCGTGAGGTCTAATCTGTATAAGATTCTAAACCGTTTCTATTTTGACCTTAACGCCGACAGTCGCTAGTACATAAATGCTATATATATATTTTTAATATGTACAAAACAGCACGTGGAGGCGTTGCTTCCTGGTAGTCTAAATATAATTATGATGATAAAGATACCTTATAATTATTAAAAAAAAAAAATCATAACAATATAGTACAAACAGGAAGACGAACAGAGAGTAATAACAAAAACGCCTGAGAAAAACTCGTGACAAACAGTAACGCGGCTCGTAGACTTCATTCTAAAGTACCACTTTCTGTATCTATTTCCGTCTGCGACACAAGACGGGATGAACTCTGCCCTCAAGTGCCTCGTGAGACATCTTGGGAAGTCCTCTCTCCCCCCTTCTACACCCTCTCCCCATCCCCGACCCCCTTCCTCGAGTAGGCCGGAACCATCGGTAAATAAGCGCACTTCCGGAAGCGATCTTGCGTCGAGGGTTATGGTGGGCAGCGTGCCAAGTGCGTCTGGTTGGAGTCTGTATTTAGGAAGGAGGAGGATGCATGGATGAGGTCGTACAGCCATTACACGTCCTCCAGCGACCTCCCTCATATCCCCCGCAAGCCTATCCCTCACCAGCCCGCCTGTCTGGCCATGACACGGATCCCGCCCCCTTCCCAAAGCACGAAAGCGTTCGCTTTTGTGCCTTGCGACCTTCCTCAAGGGTTGACAGGCACTGCGTGCACCGAGCGCACAATAATCATATAGTCTCGGCGTCTTCGGCAGGCGACTCTCGCTGCCACTTACCGGAATGACTATATCCGGAACGACGTTGACCTCCCCCTCCACGGACGCCTCCTTCAGCGAGGCGAAGTGGTTGACCCTGCCCCGGGGGGAACGCATGTTGGGGGAGCGGCAGGTCCCAAGGGCCGCCCGGATGGCGCTCGGGTCGCAGGCGTTCGAGTAGTACGAGGATGAGCCGGCAGCGGGCCTCCCAGATAGTGCGGACGACGTCTGGGGCTCGGGACTCGGCTGCTTGTGCTTCTGCAGCGCCTTGTTGATCCTGGCCAGGCCCTCGTGAATGGCCACGATGGAAGGACTCCGCTCATGACGCGAATCACTGCCACGGCTCTCCGATGCCTTGTTATTGTTATTGTTACTGCTGTCGTTATTGTTATTGTTATTGTTGATATTGCTACTGCTGTTGCTCCCACTGTATTTGGATGACGGGGCGTTTGAGGTCCTACAGCTGGGCAGGTCGCAGCTGAAGGTGCGTCCGTAGCTACTTTTACGGTCCAGCGTGCTGCTTGAGTACGCAGGGGAGTCGAGAACACGGTCCGCACTCTTCCTGTCTGAGAGGTGATCCTTCCTCCTGCGACTCGCCCTTCGATCTAGTGTCGCGTAGCCGCTAACGAACGTTGAGGGCGTGGGCGAGGGCGACGTGGCATCGAAACTGTTTTGCCGGGAATACAGGCTAGAGGAGGCGCCCACTGTGGAAGACGGCAGCTCGGTGCTGCTCTGACGGGAATAAGTGCTGCCTGGCCTCGACGAATAGCTTCTCGCCGACGACGTGGCTGACGCTGAGGAGGGCGAGAGGTCCTTGCTGCTCGTCCTCGAGTACTTTCCGGCCGACACGCCTGACAAGTCGTTGCTGTTCTGCCTTGAGTAGCGGCCGGACGTCGCAGTCGTTGCCGTCTCATTTCGTTCGTTGTAGCTCGTCAGGTCTGAGTTGCTTACGTGCCTCGAGAGGCTGGAGTAGCCGTTGCTGTACGAGGTAGGCGTGGCCGTCCCGCTGCTGCCACTGTTGTTGTTGTACGAAGACGAATACCCGTTGTAGTTGTAGTTAGAGGGCGAGGGCGAGGCGGAGGTAAGCAAGTCGCTGCTGCAACTGCCTCGCCTCGAAGACGAGGAGTACGAGGAATAGCCCGAGCTAAGTCGGTCGGAGCTGGGTCCTCGGCCGCTGTATCGCTCGGCGGAGAGCCGGTCTGCGCTCGCCCGCCCGCTCTCCTCCTTACTGGTGCTCCTCCGGCACGAGGGCGAGTAGCTGGAGGGCGAGTAGCTGGAAGACGAGTACTTGCGGGCGGTGTGCGACATCTCGGGCGGGGCGGGCGCCGGCGTTAGGTCAAGGGCGGTGGTGTGGGCCCCCGAGTAACGGAACTTGCGCGAACTTTTCGTGTAGGAGTTGGAGGGCGAGAAGCTGCCGAGCCCGTAGCTGCGCTCCCCCGCCCGGTAGCTCCTCAGGTAACTCTTCTCCATCGCGTCGAACCACGAGGGCACTGGACAGAACAGAGATGGTGGAACACGTGGGCGCCCTAGGCCACACGCGGCGAATCCACACGCACACAATATCAGGAACAAGCACAAATACAAACACAAAACACCACCTCTTCTCACTTAGGCAAAAAAATCTAAGGCGGAACCTTTTAGCTTGTACCACTATATTTCAGATTGATCTGCATGATCTCAAAACACTTTCTGAAGCACTACGCCATGTAACGAAACTGTTGCTGCCGCCTGGCCCCTCCTCCACGGCCTGGCGCGGGGCACGCACTCATTCACCTCCGTCCACGCTCGACCGGGTTCCCGCGGCCTCCACACGGCCTTGTTTATAGCGGTCGCGGCGCCGAGGTAAACAGAGCAGGTAAACACGCGGGGCAGAGTGAGCCTCTGGACGCACACGCACACTCGCGCCGGCCCAGTCTGGCCCGCCTGCGTAACTCGGGTCAGGATCCCCCCGCCACCTGCCGTACCCCCTCATGCCCCCCAGTACCAAAGAGGGTACACTATTCCCCTCACAGCAATGGCAGCGTCAGCGGCAGGAGGAGGCGCGGCGTCACGTGGTGCCGGCCAGTGTACGGAGACTATGACCTCACCGCGAGCACTAACCACTCGCTCGGGCCAGCCACTCGCCCTAACCCCCTCGGCCCCCTCGGCCCCCGGGCCCCGCGCAGGTGTAGAGTGACCCGCGTCAGGCACACACGACTGCCAGAGGCACTGGACGCGGGCGGGCGGCACGGGAGGGCCAGCGGTCAGTCGTGTCACGCCAGAGGCCGAGAGTGCCAGAACGGCCGGGGAAAGAAAGGCGGTAGGCGATGGCAATGCACACAGTCCCACGAGTGCCACGACTGTCAGACGAGCCGACTGCCTGGCACTGCCCGGCCAAAGGGTGGCTCTGGCGCGCGCGTTATTCCTTTCCACGACACGCCCCCACCCGACCTTCCGCCCCCCGGCCGCCCCGCGCCCTGCCACGTGTACCGCCCTAGCTCTCTCAAGGGCTATTTTGGCGCCGCCGTCACGCACTCGCGCGGGGGGAGGGAAGCTCTCTTCGCTGCCCGAACGCCTGGCTGTCTGCACACGCCCTCCGCGCAGTCGAGGAACACCGTCGGACAAAGGAGTCAGGAGACGACCAAAGAACCGAGGGACGACCTGCGACGACCTGCGGACCACTCTAACCTAAACACCAGAGGCAGAGAGGAAAGACCTGGAGGGTGGAGCAGAGTTTAGGAGAGAGGGAGAGGGAGAGGGAGAGGAGAGGAAGAGAGAGAAGAGAGAGCGAGAGTGAGAGCGGCGAGAGAGAGAAGGGGGGTGGGGTAGGACAATGGCAGGGCATGGCTCGACGAAGGCTAAGTAAGGGGAGTGGGTGCTATATCGGTCTTGTAAGGGCAGGCGGAAGACGAAGGAGAGATGGGGGAGGGGGCAAAGGGGGGGATGCAGGAGGAGGAGGAGGAGAGGGCGAGGAGGGAGAAGGAAGCGAGGATAAAAGGGAGAGGGCGAGGAGGGGAAGAAGGAAGAAGAGGAATAAAGAGGGGAGAGGCCGAGGAGGGGCAGGAGGAGGAGAAATGGAGTGAAAAGAGCTAAGGGGAGGGGCAGATAGGGGGGGGCAACGAGAAGGAAAGCAGCAGCAGCAACAAGAAAGGATAAGGAAGGAACGGGGGAGAAGATGAAGAAGAGAAGGACGACGATGAAAGAGGAGGAGGAGGGGGAGGTGCAGGATTAGAGGCGAAGAGTGAAAAGACCGTGAAAGTATAAACAAAAGCTTACGAGGGAAGCGAAGGGGGAGCGCCGCCCCCTACCCCACACTCCCTCCTTCCTGTTCTCTCATGACTCACACTTTCCCCCGCCATGACGATCTCTCCTGCCCCGCACAAACACCAAATACAGGACCCCCTCCTCTTTCTCCTTTACTTCCTCTACCTCTTTCTTCTCCTTTCTCTTTCTTCTCCTTCTCCTTCCCCGTTAACACAATAGTGAAAAACCGTTACTTGACCAAAGGAAGCATTACAGTGGTTGGGGAATAAGAAAACAAGGAAAGTTTATACATGTCTGCGTGCGCATGTGCGTGTTTCTGAAACAGGAGCGAGAGGAGGCAGAGGTGAGGTAGAGGTGGAGGTAGACTGAGAGGGAGGGAGGGGCGAAGGGTGTTGTGTGGAGAGGGAGAGGGAAAGAGAGAGAGGGGAGAGGAGTAAGGGAGTGAGAAGGAGAGAGAGAGTGAGAGAGGAGAGAGTGAGGGATGAGAGAGGGCGAGAGTGAGAGAGGAGGGAGGGAGTGAGGGAGTGAGAGAGGAGTGAGAGTGAGGGAGTGAGAGAGGAGAGAGTGAGGGAGTGAGAGAGGAGAGAGTGAGGGAGTGAGAGAGGAGAGAGAGCTGAGAGGAGAGAGTGAGAGAGGAGAGAGTGAGGGAGTGAGAGAGTGAGTGGAGTGAGAGAGGAGAGAGTGAGGGAGTGAGAGAAGGATGAAGGAGAGAGGGAGTGAGGAAGGAGACTGGGAGAGGAGTGATGCGGAGTGAGAGAGGAGGAGAGTGCAGGGAGTGAGAGAGGAGAGAGTGAGGGAGTGAGAGAGGAGAGAGGAGAGAGTGAGGGAGTGAAGAGAAGGAGAGAGTGAGAGAGGAGAGGAGGGAGAGGAGAGAGGAGAGGACCGAGGAGAGGAGAGGAGAGGAGGAGGAGAGGAGAGGAGAGGAAAGGACTGAATGGAGAGGAGATCGAGAGCAGAAGAGAGAGAGAGATCGATGAGGAGAGACTAGAGGAGAGACTGGAACGGACGACTGAGATGTAGAGAGAGAGAAAAGGCAGCGAGATTTCGAGAGTGAGGAAAGAAAGAGAGAAGAGGAAAGACTCTCTTCTGGGTCGGAGAGAAAGAGAAAAAGAGAAAACGAACGCAGAAAAAGATGGGAAAAAGAGAGAACGCCAGACAAGAAAGAGAAAACTAGACGAGAAGAGTCAAACAAAAAACAAGATAAAAGATGAAACCAAGAAACGCAAAAAAAAAGAAACATAAAAAAGAAAAAGAAACCTATAACGAATCATCCTGATTTTCCCCTTCTCACGCCTCTACATAACAGCCCGATGGCATTTCCGGAGCATTTACCTCCGCCCAGCTTCGCTTATAAAAAAAATGTCGATTTCTTGCCCGAAAAAAAAAGGAATATTAAAAGGCTGGGAGGAAGCGACAGCAGTTTAGAATCCGCATCGAAGACATAAGGGGGAATATCGCAGAAGCGAAATTCCCGGCGCCGTGGAAGTCACGCTCAAAGGGCGGAGGGGGCCGGGCGGGGAGGAGCGGAGAGGGGCCAGAGGGGACAGGATAAGGCGGATGAAAGAGGAGGGCGGACAGGGTAAGGAGGAGAAGCGGGGGGCGTGTAATGGAAATGAAAATGTTTCTAAGTTTAAAAAAAAAAAAAAAAAAATAAAATAGGAAAGCAATAATAATAAACGATGAGAGATGAGAGATGAGAGAGAGATGAGACGAGACGAGAGACGAGAGAGAGAGCAGGAGGAGAGAGAGAGAGAGAGAGCAGAGACGAGAGAGAGCATGAGAGAGAGGAGAGAGAGAGAGAGAAAAGAGAGGGGAGAGAGAGTGAGTGAAAAGAGAGAGATGAGAGAGAGAGAGAGAGAGAGAGAGAGAGCAGAGACAGAGAGAGAGAGAGAGAAGAGAGAGAGAGAGAGAGAGGAGAGAGAGAGAGAGAGAGAGAGAGAGAGAGAGAGAGAGAGAGAGAGAGAGAGAGAGAGAGAGAGAAGAGAGAAGAGAGAGAAGAGAGAGAGAGAAGAGAGAGAGAGAGAGAGAGAGAGAGCAGCGCCAGAGCCAGTGGCAGAAAGAGGGAGAAAGAGAGAGAGAGAGCCAGTGGCAGAAAGAGGGAGTGGGAAAGGGGGAGAGAGAGTGGAGAGGGCGGATAATCAAAGCATTATTAGGCGGGGGAGGATGCGGGGGGAGATTTACTACTCTTCCTGGTGGATATAATTAGCCGTGACGCCGATTAGGAGGCACGAACGGAGAAGAGTGAGAGAAGTGGAAGAGTCCGAAAACAAGAGGAAAACATTAAGTGACAGTGAGAGAAGAGAGGAAGAAGGAGAGAGACGGGATAGAGGTAGGAAGAGGGGGAACGAAACAACACAGGGATAAGGGAAAGGACGAGGGAGGAAGAGGAAGGAGGAAGAAGGGAGCGGAATGGAAGGAGGAAATAAGGCTAGGTACCGGGAAGAGAAGAAGAGACGGAGGGAAGAAAGGATGGAAAGAGGAAACAATTCAGGAGAGAATAAGGAAAGGAGGGAGAGGAGGGAGAGAGGGAGAGAGAGGAGAGAGAGAGAGGTAGAGAGAGAGAGAGAGAGAGAGAGAGAGAGAGAGAGAGAGAGAGAGAGAGAGAGAGAGAGAGAGAGAGAGAGAGAGAGAGAGAGAGAGAGAGAGAGAGAGAGAGAGAGAGAGAGAGAGAGAGAGAGAGAATGGGTATGACTCATGAACAGGAAAAAAAAACAACGAAATTGCTACAATTACAGAGCGACCCACGGAACCCCGGCGCAAAAAATATCATTCATAAAGTAAACACGCCTTGGTAAGCTCACAAAAGAATGAATGGAAGGACAAAAAAGACGTATGAAATTAGAGACAATTTGGAATGTGGACGGACATCCCGTGGTAAGCCATGCTGATGCCAAGAGATTAATGAAAGCCTGACAACTTGGTCCGTTGGCAGACACCGTCCTGACAACGCCGAATAGCCGACCAACGGAAATGACACCGAGGACGAACGAAATCTCTAAAAGACCCGAGACAAAGAAAGTACTACAAAGAGAATTCTGATACACCACGGAATTGGAAACCCTTCGGACACCTCCACAAGATAAATAACAATCACAAACCCAATCTCCCCCCCCCCACTCACCTTCCTACCTCCCCTGAATCAATCCCTGACCCCTTCCATCTCCCCCCCTACCCACTCCTTACTTCCCCTACCCACTCCTTGCCTCCCCAACCCTCTTCCTCCTCTC